AGTCAATTATATGTTAAATAATGAATTATATATAAATAATTGTGTTAAATAATAAATTTACACTTGGCGCCTCTTACATTTGTACCCACTAGCTACCCGAAATGAAATAGTAGACTCCAAACCGAGGGGTTCTTATGAGAACTTATTAAATTCAAGAGGCATATTTTGAATGAAAAACGATTATAAGGATATCAGGAAACCGCAAATTACGAATGGTGGTGCGACGGAAACTTTCGTCCAAGAGCATGGCTTGTCATGACAAGAAAGTTGTGAGTACATGTATTACATAACAGCAGAATAGCAGATGAAATTAGTGGTGGTGGTTAGCTTGTTGGCCATCGGCTGATTGAGATCAGCAGGATGGCATGATCATTGCATGTTTTCTTGAAAACTCAGATGAGAATGTGTTAGGTGTAAATTGTCGGAAAAGCAGTAGGACTAGGCTATAGAAAAATGTTAGAAGATGAAAGTTGGAAATATACAGCTGTCTGTCCAGGGAGCTCTCATCTGTCCAAGATAAATATCCTCATTTTGATATTGACTATAAAGGAGAATGTGATTCCACTCCACACCTCAAATCATGCCAACATCCACACAGGATTGATTCAGTTATTGTGGGGGCGTTCATTCACTTATTCAAACGGGGCGCTTATTCGCGCGAGTACAGTAAGGATGGCAAACATCGATAAAAACCCGACTGCCGTCTCAACTTTCACTGGCCTTTGGTTGAATGTTTGTAAGAAATGTACCAACCGGTAACGAAACCGGTCGCCGTCTACCTAGAGTAAATGGTGCTACCAAACGAAGCTAAAGTTTTGCGACTTAATCTACCAAATGCAGATAAAGTTTTGCGACTTATCACCTGATTGTGGATTGTGTGGTTAGTAAATTTCCTGGCCATACTGTCCATAGTGCACACTAAACTTTGTGCTGATGGAGCATTTTGTGGAAATTGACTCTCTTCTTTTTCCATCCCAAACAAAATATTATTAATATTAATAAATCAACATGGCCCATCTCAGTCATCATAGCCGGTCACAAGAAAATTAGGCTAGGAAGTTTGTTTTCAACAGCAGGCACACACTACATAACTGAGTGCGTTAAAATGAGTGTTTGTTAATTTTAGTGATAAAGAATCATAAAACGTCGAGAGAATAACTGATTTTTTTTTCGCCCGCTGTTGCAAAGAAGAAAACGACAGATAAAGTCCTTTAAGGTAGGTTATTGAATTTCAAAATCAATTTACCAAGCCTAGATGTTGACTAGCTAGGTTCGCTCCTCGTTCATTTAGAGACAGAATTATACCCCGGGACAACAAATTAGTGTAGGCATGGCTTAAGTACAGGACGTACTACAGGTAGGCCTAGGCTTTTGTTGTTTGAAGTTCATGGATACAGGATACACCATAGGCCTATATTTAAAAAAAATACATTTTGTTAATTATTATTGGTTGGCCTGGGACCTAGGCAGGCAGGCAGGCTTTACCGTCGGAACGTCCTGAGATTCGACGATGACGTCCGCCGGCGGCACGTACAAACGCCATTAATTAGAATGAAAATAGACGCGCTGAATTTTTTTTTTTTTTTTTTTTTTTTTTTTTTTATGAAAGATAGAATTTATTGAACATTTATCTATATAAAAACAAGATTAATATTGTAGAAATTGTATTTCTAAAGATGCATATAATTCATATTTCATTTGGTAGACAATAAATATTCAGTAAGATATAAAAACAATTATTAAGTCTGAAATGTGCATCAAATCTCAGCTATTATTAATCAGTATGATGTATTATCTTATAAAGTCTTAAAATAATAATTTCGAATTTGGCCTAGTATATAACAAATAATTGAAATTAAAGTTTAGGTTCCCATGATGAAAGATGACGTATTGAATATGATGCTATATTTTGGGCTCTGACTTAATTGAACGATGGCCCTGTCAGTAATTTTGTGCTTTTTTTTAGCCACGTAGTAAAATAGTAGGCCTACTATTATTTTCAGTGTACAAAATGAGAGTTAAGAAGAAGTAGTAGAAGAAGAAGAATAATAGGAAGAGGTAGAAGAAGAAGAATAGCTTTTTTTTGTTTTATAATAATAAATGTGTTGAGTACTGATTAGTATGCGAAGAGGTTTTTTTTTCTGTGTGATTTAAACATGCCAATTCTCAAAAAACATTTTCTAAACTGCTCTGGCTTCGGGGGCCCTTAGGCAGGCCCCTGGACC